TGTGGAGAAGTTCCCGTCTGTATATCGGCCGTGAAGTTCCCGTACGTCCGCGGACGGACATTATTTGTCACTGCTGGTGAATTTCCCGTACGCGAAATGTCGACTAAAATGGTCCGATTCCCGTTCGTGTAATATGGTGACATTCCCGTCCGTATATCGGCCCCAAAACACACGCGCCCACGGTCAGCCCTGAGTGGTGAAGTTCCCGTACGGGACTTAGTCTTTCTAGGTGGAGAGATTCCCGTATTGTGGGAAATTCTCAACCTCCGTGGCAGCCCTGAGTGGTGAAGTTCCCGTGCGGGACTCGGCACTGCTAGGTGGAGAGATTCCCGTAAGCGGGAATCTCTCCCCCTCCGTGGCACATTTCCCGCACGGGAAACTCTCCTATTCCCGTGACCCAGCTTACGTACTGTGACCCAGCTTACGTACTGTCTCGATAGTACGTAATTCGGGGTGATCGGCACAAGTTCTTGACGCATTCGGCACGGTTGGCAGAGGGGATTGGGACGGATTCCTCTGTATGTTATCGCACGTTCGTCTCTATATTTGACCCACGAACACGTGCCGAACACTGCGGATCTATAGCCGAACACAAGCCAAAAACAAGAGTTCCGAGATCTCATACCTCCATGAAATATGGGCTTGATATGTAAATGTAAATTTCTTCTTTAATTACGCAAATGACCTCTGCATTAACATAATATATGCATCGTGATGTTAACTTTTGATTAACTTTAAGACGTCCCAAGTATGACATTCCCATCATTCACCATTGAGAAATCATAGGTTTTTTGCATTAATTATGCAAATTAGGTCATAATTTGCTTAATTGGTATCTGGTGATGTTCCATCTGCCATAGGTTACATACATTACATGTATGAAAGTTCTATAATGTAAAACACTGTAATTATAGAATTTCCTCATTAATTATGCAAATAAAGTCCTCATTTGCATAATTTGTAGTTAATTATGTACATCTCTCTGTCAAATACCTACACACCAAAAATGATGAAAATACGCTGTTCCTATCTGGACTTATTGGCTTTCAAAGATTTCGCCCGAAAGTCCCCTGCAGTTCCTGAACAAGCAGCTAGGGGGACCAAACCCACACCACTTATTCCTGACAGGAAAAGCTATCTGTTACCAAAAATTCAAGACCATAGCATGTTCAGGACCAAAGATACAAAAACTGGAAGTTCTGCTGCAGTACCAAGGTCATCCACCAGGAGGCCCATATTTGACCTTGACCTTTGTCTTCCTAAGACTTATCAGCATACCAAATATTATTACAATCCATAAAGGCGTTATGAAGTTATGCTGACTACAAAGTTGCGGAAACACACACAGACACACAGACACACACACACACAGACAGACACACAGACAGACGCCGCCAAAAACAATACCTCCATTTTTCATGGAGGTAACTAACCAGCCAGGCCGACCTTCTCAAATATCCGAGAATGTCTTTTCTTCGGCTGGCGCAGCCGAACCGTAGCTGGTAACCAGACCGCCGTGAACTCAGTGCCATGTTTTTCAAAGCTATCGCATGACTACAGCCTATTATCCACGGATTTATGTTTCCCTTCAAGGGAGATTCGCTTGAATGAGTCAATTATTGTTTTGAACAAGACCATCACAGTGTGTGGTGTTACGCAGGTTTCGTCACTTGCAAGTGGGGTTCTGGGCTCAACAGAAGGATTCGAAGAGCCGGGAGCGAGGGGGCTGACATTCCCTTGCCAGATCAACACAAGGTATGTGTCATTTTATTATATCATTGATTATTTTCTATGCTGTGTTACATAGAAGTACCTCTCCCGATACAGCTACTTTATCTCTCCCTAACATTATTCGTAGGTTTTGATCATTTAAACGGAAATGCAACCTTTAGGCATTGGTGAAAGAAATTTGCAGTACCTGAAAATACATAATGAAGTAGATAAAGCCATGTTTACAGTGCGACAATAAAACAACGCAACTATAGATATTTACACAAAGATCAAAAAAAAAATTTCGAGCACCTTCTAGGCGATATATTAATTGACGCATGTTGCTTTCGGTGTAACGCTATATTCTTCTTCTTCATATCCAAGTTTTACGTCTATTGATTCCCTGAATCGGGGGTATAGACGTGCTTGCACAGGTGCATGTTTGGGCTTGTCATTTTGCCCCTCAGCATGCTGAGGTGCACAACAGCAAGCCTGTGCAAGTCTTTGGGTTTTTGAAGCAAAGTTTGTACTGACTGGTTGCCCTTCCTAACGCCAAACTCTAAAGTTTTTGACAGCTTTCAGAGACTGGTTGTATGAGGAAATGTGTGTTAAGTGTCTTTCCTAGGGGCACAACATCGGGGTATGTAATAGGTGGATTTAAACCCAGGGCCCCTGGGTCCCGGGACCAGAGCCCTACCACTACACCACACGACGCCAAATACATGTACATTGTATTTATGCACCCCAGCCTATCCAAACATCCCGCACGTACGTTTACTAGGAAGCACTAAGCATGCATTAAGAGTTCCGAGTAAACGTGCTTGAAGCATGATATTCATACAATAGACCTACGTACAGTGGGCTGTAACGTTAATCTTTTGTAAACTAGGCGAGGAAAAAGAGTTGACCGGATATATATATATATGGAATGTCGACACTCTAGTCAAGAGGCACTTGTTTATTTGGATCGCATCATTGTATAAGGGCGCGGTGCCCTTACAACATCGCTAGTTGTCAGAGGTTGCAAAATTGGTCACGTCGGGATCAATACATTTTCAAAGCATCCATGTGAAGAACATACTTGGATTAGGCCACACCAAGTAAATTTTATGGATGACGTCCTTTGGAGACCCTAAATCTAATGCGAGAGGGCGAAAAAAAAAACAAGAAGGACCCTAAAAACAAGATGCCTAAATTAGAAATATACTAAGAGACGACAAACGTTAGGACACAAATTGAATGAGGTGACACAGTGTAACAAGCAAGAAGTATTTTATTCATCATCAAAACAGCAAAGCTTAGCTCTCCCTGGCTGACATAGAGCGCGTACCAGTCAACAACAACGTTTCCGCACGCTTTTACATACTTGGCGACCAAGGGTGGCGAGCCCACATGCTCTGTAGAGCACGACGCCATCTTGTTACGGGTTTCAGCATCATTACGAGTTTCACGTCAACGCTAACGCTAGTGTTTAGGTAAATAAAAAGAGGCTCACTTAACACCCTGGGTAAAGCTTGCCCTTTGTTAAGTGAGTCTAACTCAAGGTGCCAGGTAGCTTTGGTAAAACAAAGTTTGGCATTCATTGCTTTAGGCAAGGATTGTCAAGATCTAACGTTATTGTTTAGGCAAATAAAAAGAGGCTTACTTAGCACCCTGGGTAAAGCTTGCCCTTTGTCAAGTATGCCATTGATGTCTAAATCCAGGTGCCAGGTAGCTTTGGTAAAACAAAGTCTGGCATTCATTGCTTTAGGCAAGGATTATTGTCGACATCTATTGATTTTGCTAAGGCAAATAAAAGATGCTTACTTAGCATTTATGTTAAAGCTCGCCCTTTGTCAAGTGATTCCTGGGTGTCTTAATCCAGGTGTCGGGTAGCTTTGGCAATAAATCAGATCAGACTACATTTGGACTTCAGCCAGCCTTAGTTAGTAATATGTGGGGTCGTGTGGCGCAGTCGGTAGCACGGCAGAAATTTTAAGAAATCAAATTGTGCAGCAGGACACAATTTAGCCAACGGCTACAGGTTTTTGTTTGTTTTCACAAATAAACTATTTGGTTGATTCATTTATTGATTGATTGATCGATTGATTGATTGATTGATTGATTGATTACCCTAACCAGCGCACACTATGTGGACACTAGTGTCGTCTGTCGTGGTTACTTGCTGTGTGTTCTCCAATTGTGTATCATCCCAAACACGTGAGTGTTAATTTTTTTTCCAATCAACTTCCTCTGAATTCTTCAGTGTTATTTCTTGTTGTTTCTCTTCCTCAAAATGTTTACGACAAAATACATCATTTCAATACCTGCCTGACTATTATGTTTTAATGACCTGCTACACTTGGGCGCAGTTTATTTATTGTATGCTATATACTATCGGTCTGTATTGGCTAATAAGACACTAGGAACAAAATGTAGAAAGAAATTATTTAAAGAAAACAGAATTTATATTAGAGATTTACCCAGGTAAGGAATTCCATCAAAAACTATAAAAATACAATACAATTTTAAACATTTGCACCTAAAATAGACCCTTCTTGAGGTACTGAACTTCGTGCTATGGTTAGGTCAATTGTTTTAAGTCATGCTGCCAAGTAATTAGATTTAAAGATGACCCCTCTTTCAATGATGTCAAACTGAATACATTAGCTTGTTTGTAAGCTTGTACCAAAATCTACGAATAACGTATTTTTATCCTAGTTTCTGTATATCATAACAGTCTCTTTATATTTTTACTTTAATGGGTCTCTAAAAATACTTGTTTTTGGCGCTGTTGTGAGCCTCAAAGCCAGTTTCCAAACTATTTTCTGTGTTTGTGTTTGGTTTCCATTTTAACAAAAAATGACTGTTAGTTTCTCACTGTTTAAAGCTCAATGTGGCATCAATAAGTAAATATATGTATGTAGTTTTGAAAAGATACCCATTACTACAGAAGCGATACGACAAGCCATTTATCTTCTTTTTAATTCTCTAAAATGATATAAAATGTTTTTCGTTTATTTTTATCAACAAAGTCAAAGCCTTTATTCTTTTAAAAATTTGATCGTATCAAACCCAAGGAATATGTAGTTTAGTATGAGATTAGTTAGAAAATATATTACATTTATGTCCATTTTTTGTCTCATGCAGGTACATAAAGATATTTCGCCGAGAGACGTGTGACTTTAATTTTACAGTTCTACAGTGGAATTGGTTAACGTTGTAGGTATTAGATCATGTCAAAATATGATTTTCTTTTCTTTTTAGTTTGCGGAAGACTAACTGCTGACAATGGGTCCTTCAGCAGTCAAAACTACCCGAACAACTACCCAAACGACCACGACTGTCGATACGAGATCTCTGTATCGTCTCCCAAAGTTATAAAGCTTACCTTCACCGATTTTCAAGTTGAGGAAGACTATGACTACGTGTACGTGTATGATGGAAACACAACTGACTCAACTTACCGGATAGGTAGGATACCAACTTTTTAGCAAGTTAGCAGGGAATGTGTGTCCATATATGTGTGTGTGTGTGGGGG